CTCCCGACCTCCGCAGGGCCGGCTCCGAGCCCGGCGCCTCCTCCCCGGGCCCGGGCCTCCACCCTGCACCGCGGGAGGATCGCGGCGCCTGTGCCGGGCCCCCGCACCCGGTGGACACGCCTGTGCGTCTTATCCTGTGAGGGCCTGGGCAGATGACCTGGGCAGGTGACTGCGCTCCTGCGAGCCTTGGCTTCCTCAACCGTAAGGAAGGCACGGGTCACTTCCCTGCCGAACCCCTACACAGGGAAATCAGTCACTGCCCTCACAAGCAGCGTCGCTGCAACCTCCCTGACTCCCCAGGCCCGCCCGACTCTCCGGCCGATCTTGCTGCTCTCCACCCAACCCGGGCATTCTGGAAGGTGCTTGTTTGTCACCCTACTCTAGAATACAGACTCCGTGAGATTAGGGATGTACATAAATCCTATGGCGTTTCCATTCTGTCTTGTCCACTGCCGCTCAGACTGGCACAGCTTTGGTGTGCGATGAATGTCTGTGAACTGAATTCTGGTCTCCCAGCTTGGGACACCCACTCTGCCCCCGTCTGGAATGGAAAGCATCCCCTCCCCTTCCCAAGTCCTCAGGCCCCTTATTCACCTCGGTAACCCCCCTTCCCAATGGGAAAGGTGCTCCATACACCACCTCTGGATGAATTAATAACGAATGAATGAATGAATCACTGGTGCCTGTCCATGATGGTGTCTTTACCAGAGTCATTTTGCCTAGTCCTTGGGACTGTTTCAGTGCTTTCACTCAGCCAAACCCTGAAAACACTGCCACTGGAGTTCTGGAAGGATGGGCAGAAGCTCTAACAAGAAAGAGAAAACATCCATGCCCTGCTGCTGCCCAAGGTCAGGTCCTTGGTATTTGAAAAGCTTCCTAAGCGGCCCTAAACCTCCACTCTCACTTTCTCTAGCCCATCCTTCACACGTGTCAACGATCCTTCTGAAATGCACTCAATCCTGCCACTCCCCTACCTAAAGTCTTTCAATTGCTTCTCCTTGTCATCGGGATAAAGTCCAAGCTCCTCAACTTGACCAGGCACCTGATAATCTGGCCTCTGATTAGGTTCTGATCCTCTCCCCCTATTCTCACAGATCCTGAGCTGTAGTTACTACACTCAGGCCATCACCCAGCCCTGCCCCACAGTGCTATTTCACTCCTGTGGACTGTTCCCTCCTCCTATTTGCCTAGGGACTTCTAGTCATCCTTTAAATCTCTTTCTGAATCCCTTCCTAATCCCCTTGGGCAGAGTTAACAGATACCTTTTCTGTCTTCCAAGGCATTGTGTCTGGATCACTACAACCCATTGTCCTGTTTACCTGTCTCCTCTGTTGGGAGGAGCAGCAGGAGAAAAGAAACCACTCTGTTTTCCTGAATCGTCTGCACACAACACAGAGCCTGGGACTCTGTAGGTACTCAACAAATTGTTGTGGAATGACTAGATACTTCCATGCTTACAACACTACTGGTCACAACTCCAGAGTTCACGAACAGTCAGAAGGGGCTATGGCAATCTCTCGCTGGTGTTACTGTTAATATCTCTTAGATAGCTGCTTAATTCTTTCGTGGTTTTTAATAATTAATTTTTGAGATTTGTATCTAAGGTTTAGAAGCTCAAGCCTGGTTATAAGGTGGCAAAGCATTTCTCCTGGAGTTTTAGTGATCACCCAAGTTAATCTTAGATACTAGAGTCAGGCACACCACACACACACACACACACACACACACACACGTGCATGGTAGCATGCAAAGTCCCTCTCAGAGGATAAAGGTTGAAAGTAATTTCCTTGAGATTCACATATGAGCTCCACAGAGTGTCCAAGGTGCATCCCAGCAAGCTAGTGCCCTCTTCTTCATTTAGAGCCTCCAAAGATACAGCTTCGTCTACTGGGACAGGAGTTTATGAGTTACATAAGTTGTGGCAGGGTTCAAAAGAGATTTTTAAAAACATTTTCATCATAAATGATGTATTCAAAGGATGTGTAAATAAATCTATGTGTACAGTTTAAGAAAAATAATAAAAGTGTTAGGTTAAAATATATATCCCAGCGGGGCCTCCAAAATGTTAGGTCAGACCCGCCGGGTGGGGTCGTGTGATCGGGTGCCATGTGAAAGATGCAAAGAATTGCACAGCAGTTAGATTAGAAAATTAGTTTATTTATAAAGTAAATAGAGAGGAAGAGAGAGAGAGAGAGAGAGAAAGACAGAGATATTCACCTCTCCAAGGAAAGGAAGGGAGCCAAAGCTTAGGAAACATGGTGGTGGCCATAGCTCAAAGAGCACATGGCCACACCAGAGTTTAGTAAAGCAATAACGAATGGTTGCCCGAGGTTGAATGCTTTTAACATTCCCCTTAATGGGGGCAGGCCATTAAGGTGGTTGAGTGGTGGTCTGTTCCACTTCATCACAGCAGGGACAGGTAAGCCCAAGTACTGATATTAGGTGATGGATGACAGGCAGATGGTTAGTCACAAGATTGCTGCCATGGTGGTGGGGTCTGTTTGTGTCACAGGTCACAAGGGGTTGATTAGGTTAGCCTGGGTCTTATGTGTGGAGGCAAATACTTGAAATAGAAAAACTAATTAGTACAAAACAAGCTGCGGAGGGGGATTGTAAAACAATTATCAATAGCTACCTCTGAGAAACAGGTTCTGTCCTTGGCTAGTGATTAGAGGGTAAGTTAAGTGAACTGCTAGAAAAACAGATTTAGGCAATGTTAAAATGGCTGCTTATTGGGTTAAATCCATGTTATGGCCTTTCAAAAAGGAATTCTCATACTCGCTACCAGCTTAGGGTATGGAAAAGCTCCATGTGGGCCTCTCCTGTCAACACCCAATACTGTCCTGAATTATGTATGAACCATCTCCTTGTTTTCATTATAGCTTCAGCATGGCTTCTCAGATCTGCAGGAAGGGAGAGTGTGGCCTTTCCCTCCACAGGAGGTCTGAACACTGCTGAGGAGGCTGGTTGCTAGAGCAAAGCGCCCAATTCTGGCAAAGCTGGGAGAACTCACTGGCCAAACCCACCCGGCCGCAAACATCACCCACATTTTGCCATCTCCTCCTTCTTCAGCTCAGGAAGTGGAGAATGTTGTAGAATACAGCAATGAAAATCAATATACTATACCTCAACTCACCAACATGGATAAGCACTCAAGACAGTGTCGAGTGAAAGAAGTCACAGAATGACAGAGGCATGGTGACTTACTTCCTTCTCTACAATTTAGAAAAAAAAAATTAGCCAGGTGTGGTGGCATGCACCTGTAGTTCTAGCTATTTGGAAGGCTGAGGCAGAATGATTGCCTGAACCCAGAGTACAGTGGCGTACTCATGACTGTTGCTTTTTTTTTTTAGCCTGGACTTCGCTGGGTTCAGGCAATCATTCTGCCTCAGCCTTCCAAATAGCTAGAACTACAGGTGCATGCCACCACACCTGGCTAATTTTTTTTTCTAAATTGTAGAGAAGGAAGTAAGTCACCATGCTTCTGTCATTCTGTGACTTCTTTCACTCGACACTGTCTTGAAAGTGGTGAGTTGAGCTATAGTTTATTGATTTTCATTGCCGTATTCACCATGTTGGTGAGTTGAGGTATAGTTTATTGATTTTCATTGCCGTATTCTACAACATTCTCCACTTCCTGAGCTGAAGAAGGAGGAGATGGCAAAATGTGGGTGATGTTTGCGGCCGGGTGGGTTTGGCCAGTGAGTTCTCCCAGCTTTACCAGGGTTGGGCACTTTGCTCCAGCAACCAGCCTCCTCAGCAGTGTTCAGACCTCCTGTGGAGGGAAAGGCCACATTCTCCCTTCCTGCAGATCTGAGAAGCCATAGTTTGGTGCTGGGCCGATTCTAGGCTCCTTAAGAGGAACGGGAAGAAAGATGTTCACTTTGAAGCTGCTTCTCTGGGGACTTTAGAAACAGAGGTTGGGAGCTCCCAGCTCTCAGAGCAATGGAAGAAGCTGAGTAATTCAGTCCCCACCTTTTCAAAGGGCTCCATGGTCCTTAGATGGAGTTTAGGAAGTTCCTCTCTGAGCTGGCTTTCTGGGCACCTGAGTGGGAGGGAGATGGGAAATGACAGCAGGCAGCCAACCAGCTTGGGGGCCCTATCTGCATATTCATGAGCCCCCCATGCTGATTGGCTGCTCTAAACAGCCCCCAAAGTCCCCAGAGCCAGAGCTGCAGCAGTGGGCTGTCAGATGATGCCTTGGCAAAGAAGGGGCAGGAGGCTCCCCTTTCTCACCTGCCTGGGGAGGAAGTTGGGAAACCAGCACTACTTCCTGATTGTGCCTGTCTGCCTAGGGCTGATGAGGAGTGGGCAGCTCCATCCTAGGTGATGGGCTCCACCTGGTCGCAGTACCCAAGACAAGGACCACCTTGAGGACCTCTTCCCTGTGAGTAACACCATACCTTCTGTTTACCTTGCCAGAGTACTTTTTAAAAACCTATGGAAGGTTTATCATGAAAATGTTCAAGTATGTAGAAAGGTAGACAGACTAGAAATGTCTGCAGACTTCCCTAGACCTATGGCCTACATCTAACAATTGTGACTGCGTCGTTGCTTCACCTACTTTTGCTGGCTGAAATACTTTCAGGTAGATTATGGACATGGAGACATGTCCCTCCCTCATACCTCACTCTGGATTGCCAGATGTGTGTCTCTGGAGCCCTTTGGAAGCTCCTCGTGAGTTCTGAGGGGGTGATTATCATCACTGTTTTATAAAAGCTGAAATGCACCAAGTGGCCGAGGGTAGAGCCCCGACCTCCT